CTGTTTTTTTTTATCTCTTAAAAATATGGCATTTAAGAGGTGTGAAAATTCACAACAACTTTTTCTATTTTTTCATCCCTTAAAAATATGATACTTAAGAGGTAAAAAACAATTTTATTACTTTAAGGCTGGAAAACTATTTATCTTACGATTATCAAAAATATCATGTGGATTATTTTGAACATGACCCGAAAATCCAATTATGGGATAAAATGGCGTAATTGCGATTCAGTAATTCTTAAAAATACTAGACTGGAAAGATAGCTTACGTTGTTAACAAATATTTATCTGTCTATTTCTGAACTTATTCGTCTGTCTATCCTTTAACTTTATCTGTACTAACCTTTCCATCCTTTATAGTGTATCGGTACAAGATTCCAGCTCCGTCAAACCAATGGTTAACACAGAAGTCTTCAGCCAGATCGAATTTCCCGGGTCCTATCCGGAAAAGTTGCCCATTCAACCACTTCGGTATTTCCCCTATAGAGATAAAACACTCGGGTGATAGTGGAATAAAATATTTTTAAATAAAAATGTTCAGTCATTAATAATACGGTTTTTCCTAACGCCAGGGGTGCGGGTTTGCCCTGTGGTTCAGGGCTGGATTTCCGATCTGAAAAGCCACGTACGATTCCGTACGATACCATAAAATATTCCATGCATTTAAGTTGTGAGTGCGTTATAAAACTGACAGTTAATACCTAACAAGGGATGGTGGGAGATAGGGTGTCTCACTGACTATCTGTCCTCCATCTGGTCAGTAGTTCAAAATTAGGGAAAGCAACAGATATTTTAAAGAGCTTTGCCATGAACACAGAATAAGATACTAATTGAATTATCCATGACAGCTGAAAGGTATATTAGATAACACGAAGTTTACAATATAAAATAAATATTGTTTTATTCTCGGTAGATGATTCTTTATAAAAGTAACTTACATTTAAAACTAGAATTTACGTCAGGAATTTTATTTGTAATAGATGAAAAAAGAAACCTATGTTGATTGAATTTTTTAAAGCTATGCTAAACAGAATGCTAACATTTGATTAATCTCTATTATTTATTGTTAGAAACATAAGGTTATTTGCAAAATATAATATTTCCAAAAAACATCGCAACGAATCCAGTGAACCCAAACAAAATATAAATCAAGGCTTTAACACATGGTTATAAAAAATAAACTGAGGAAAATTTCAAGAAAAGCGTATTATTAGCAGCAAAAAGGGTTAGAAGTTTCTATAACAATCTGAATACTTTTCCTACTCTCCCTTTGTATAATTATTTTTTCTCCCTTACTTTCTTTAGGCAAAGAGATGGGAATGTTACCTAACTACTGTATTTGACTCAGACATTACACTACCAAGTTTCAGTACGTGAGTTACACAGAGCATCTGCTGTATTATTTCAATTGTTCACGTAAAGGGGGAGTTATTAAAACATACAAATATGAATGCCATTTTAATATCAATGACAGTTCTTACAGCCATGGTATCAAACAGTAGTTTTTTTATATGCACGCATACAATACCTTCCACTGTAAAAGAAGATGTAAAAGTACTAAAATAACAAGGAATTTACAGAAACTATTAACATTACACGACAGTAGTTGCCAAAGCGGTGTTGCTATGAAACCCACCGCCATCTGTTCATTTGTACAAGAAATACAGATATTCACAGAGGAGCCCTCAATTCTGGTGCAAACTAACAAATGTTTTGTTCTTTTTATCTCTTACAAAATGCTCGATAAAACTTATATTTATACTCCTATCATTATAAAGATAAATGGTTAGTTTGTCTGGACTGTGTCGCAGAATGCACACTGCACATTGGGGCGCGTGAGCTATAAGAGTAACAGTCAAATCCTACTGTTCCATCCGACAAGAGTAGCCCAGAAGTTGGTTGTGGGTGCTACTGGCTAGCTCCCTTCCCTCTAGTTTATCATTCAAAATTAGGGACGGTCATTCACAGACAGTTGTCACATAGCTTTGCGCGAAATTATGAAACATATATGTACGGACGAAATTTATCAATGCTATTAAATTAGCAGATTATGTTTTTTTTTAAAGAAGTAATTTAATAAACAGCATAATACGTGCTGTAACTTGCTTCTTTTTTCTTTTAACACGACATCCACTCCTGTCAGTGTAACCTATGGGTCAAATACAGCACTTGTATCGAAACCGATCGTAGGAGGAAATATGTGTTGTTATGTATCATCTTTCTAAACCACTTTGACCTCAAGCATTTAGTGGCTTACATATATCCAGATGTTTATTTAATTACAGGATGACTAGTGAGTTCTTTGACGTAAATGGATATCAGTAAAACTAAATAATCTTAATTCCAAATATATTTCACATTCAAAATCTTCATTAAAATAAAAATATTTCCAAAATATAGAACATCTTAACCTATTACCCTTCTATTATAACCTATGATAAACCTTTTCGCTTTTGACCATTAGCTAAGGTTAACTCTACCACCACCTAGAATTAACCTTTTAGTTCAAGTTCTTTTCATCACCTGAGAACAGCTCTAGTGATGTCTTCTAGTACTTAAGTTACATGGATTAGCAGTTTTACTTTCTATTTAATCACATGGGATTAACCCTTTAGGTTTCTATTACCACTTGAAAATAACCCTCGAGCTTCCTTCTAGTACCTGAAGTTAACTGTTTGTTTTCTATTAATACCTAAGATTAATGTTTTAGTCCTGCATTAATACCCATATTTCTTAACACTTGAAATGTGTACTACAACCTGGAATTAACTCTTTACTCTCTACTATAACCTGGGATTAACGCTTTAGTCTCTAATGCCAACTGGAATTAACCCTTTAATCTCTATTGTCATCTGGGATTCATCCTATTGTTTCTACTACCAGCTGGAATTAACTCTTTAATCTCCAATATCACTTGGGATTAATCCTAGAGTCTCTGCTATAACTTGGATAAACCCCACAGCCTCTGCTACCACCTGGGATTAACCTTTTAATCTTCTCTGTCACTTGGGATTAACATTATAGTCTCTGGGGATTAATTTACCCAGGAATTAATTTATTAGATTCCTTTCATCACCTAAAACAACGCTTCATTTTTTAATGATTTGAGATTAAATAAGTTTTATAAATAAATGAATACAAACAAACTTTAAAGAACTTACTTCGGTAATGTACAAACAGATTAGTAGCTTTGACAACAAATAAACTTACTGGTGTCCTTCATCAAGTCACCAAAGGTGATATTACAATACCTATAGTTACATATACGTGAAATAAGTAGAATAGAATACTTGACTCCAAGGTATTCAAATTTCGTATTTATAAAACGAGATGCGCGCGCTTACACACGCACTCCCATCCTATTTGTGATGGGACTGAAGAGGATTTGTATAGTTAAGTCAGTCAGTCAAATATCAATTCCCAATGGAAACGAGACAGTTGATTTAAAAGTACAGTGACTTTGTCTTTCGAGTATGAAGATAAAAAAAAAGTTCCGGATTTCAGATCCCGCAGAAACTTGACACTGTCTACATATATAATATATATGTCAGCACCGATCTGAAAAAACTGATAAAGACATCAAAATGAAAGCAGAAGCTGATGACATAAAATGCTATTTAATTACATACACTTAAAAGACGTTTTACTTTCAAATAACTAAATAGCTTTACTAGAATCGATGGAAAAAGAAACTATTATATAGATAGATAGATATAGAACAGTTTTGATATCTTGTATTGTTTTTGTTAAGATATCTATAATAAAAAAGATGTCTTAACTAAAACAGTCAAATCAAAACAGATATAGTTAGAAAAAAAAGCAACGATGTTAGTAGGCGTTTATTAACAATAACCCAAGTTTTGATCAATAAGTATTTTATACATATACTTTTATTAACTTTAAGGTAATCTATTTCTGAATGCGCCAAATATAAAAAACTATATACACGAGCTAAGAAAAAATCGAGATACAATTTCAAAACGTGAAGTTATCTTACTTGTGTACTTTTATGCTGTTCAAAAAGAAAAAAAGACTAAAAAAGTATGCTAGAAACACCTTTCATAAGTAGACAAGAGCACAGCTAAATAACTTGTGGGGTTAAAAAAAGTTATAAAATTTGATGAAATTCACCAGCAGTGTTAAAAAACAGCAGACTACTTTATAGATACTATTTAACTAAAGTTTTAGTCTTGTAGCAAAGAACTAGAGATAGCCAAACTTTATTGTAATAACTAGTCTTACCCGATTCGTCAAGAAATGACGGATTGGAGTTTTGTAAATAAACACCCGCAGAAAGTATTTTTTTTTTAATTACGACATATAGTCTAAAAATTACAATGCAGAAAACTAATAATTTCACTACCCAATTAAAAAGTTTGAAATTTTGACCCATGGCACTTAGCCACGCCCATTTTTACTGCTTAACAGCTAATAGAAGTATTCAAATCCTTTCACCAAAAGCTATAAAAGAAAGTCTTATTGGTGCATTAGTCTCACCTGGTGATCTTAATCATTAATTAACTGTATCAAATCCTAATACCGAAAGAAGCTGAAGCACCCTAGCCAATAGGCCTAAGGTTTATGATGAAAATTCTATCACAAAGTTTAAACCTAAAAATTAGTTTTAAGTAGCGTCCTTAGTTAAGACTATTGGTAATACTTTTGGGAGAAAGAAAGAAAAAAATGTTTTATCCAAAAATAATAATAATAACAGACCTAAGAAACTTCACGAAAACCTAATAAAAACATACTGTTGCGTCAGCGAGATCACGTGATTATACTCACGCCCTCTGCTTTCTGGAAATATCTTGTACCTTCGTGAATTGTCGGGAGATTACTAGATATAGGGTAGTCTGGTATATATATAAGAGGGTGACAACGTGACGATAAGGTAATGTGTGTGTAGACAATGAGTAATTGATCTGCAGTCAGAGAGTATTATTGAGCACGTTCGTTGTTATAGCGCGATTGTTGAAATTAAGTGTATCGTAAAGTTATATTCGGAAAGAATAAACCAGTTTTATTAAGTAAGGACTTGTGTCGCTAAAGTTTCGTCGGAACGAAGTTATGGAAAGTTAATTAATAAACGGAGATGCAACAAATTGGTGTCAGAAGTGGAACGAAAAATAATGGAAACAAGAGGCGGAAAATCAAACTATAGCTTAGCAGACTTGATGGCAGCAATACAAGAGCAGCAAAAGAAACAAGAAGAACGAGAAAATGAACGAGAAAAGAAACAAGAAGAACGAGAAAATGAACGAGAAAAGAAACAAGAAGAACGAGAAATTAAACAAGAAGAGAATTTACAGCAGTTTTAGAGGAAAAAGAAAAGAAACAAGAAGAGAGACAACAGCAGTTGCAAGAAAACCTGCAACAGTGGCAGCTCGAACAACAAAATAAACAAGAAGAGAGATTACAGTAGTTGTTAGAGGAAAAAAAAGAAACGAGAAGAAAGATTACAGCAGTGGCAACTGGAA